TTCCTTCATTTTCAAAACATTTTTCACTCCTTCAAAGTTTTGTAATGTCAAAGTTACTGGAGGCTCCAGGGGGACCCAGCAGCAACTGTACCCCGAACTAAATCAAAGCTAAACCCTTTAATAAATGTATAAAAATTATTTTCCTTGTGTAACTTGTATTGCTTGTGTATTACATCAATTTCTAAATGTATAAAACTGTATCAAATGTATCCTGAAGGCATCTGCTTTCTCTGTGTCCCCTATTTGCATAAATTTCTGGAACAAAGATTGCTATACAATTAAGAAAGGTCCCTCCAGTGATCTCCCAAGCCAGATAATATCAGACCCTTTGTGTATGTGTTTAAGACAGATGATCCGTTTATCACTGAGATGGGATTGGGATGTTTAATTGTTTAACTGGAGATTTACCATTCCCACTGAAGAGAAAGCTAAAAAGAGATGAATATATTAGCTTTCTGAATAGGCTAATAATAAGCCTCTGGTTATCCGGGATTGTCACCTGTTGTTTCCTGAGTCTTGCACCTTTGTCTTCACGGAATTGGACCCTTAAGTCAATCAAGGAATCTGTATATCTGTATATCCACATCATCATTTTCCCCAGTTCTGCACCCTCTCAGGGGGCATCTTGGACTGTTCTTCTCACCATGGGGATCTTCTCCTGCTAAACCTCTGGCCAATTCCTGCATGGATCCTAACTTGTCCAGTTTCTCACCCAATCAGGAGGAAGTCTAAATAGCTGTCACAGTGTATAAAATATCTTGTATTTTTCTATGGAGTTATGCTTCTACATTTTGAATGTTGGCTGGTACTTGCATCGCTTTTGGCCAAGCTATAATTTACCTTTGTAGTTTGCCTTCAAGCCAGTGCTCATTCTCTGTCCTGGCTGATCTGCTCTAGCAGAAGCTCACCGGGCACGGACCTTCTTATCTGCGGTCCTAGCTGAAATTAATTCACAGCCACAAGTATTATCTAGTAGGGCTGGGCGGTTTCGTTTCGTTAATTCGTAATTCGTTAATAATTCGTTAATTTTTTCAATTACAAAACGATAACGAACCATTCTGGAGCAATTATTTAAAAAATGAATTTTCAAAAACGTTTTGTAAATGCTTCGTATTTCGATATTGTATTCGTTTCGTTATTGTTTTGAGGTCGTTTCGTTATTATTTCCGCATGTCTGGGCCAGTTTTATGGTTTAATTAGTGAAAAAAAAATGATAATATCACACCAACAGTCAACAACAGAGGGAGAGGGAAGCTTCAGAAGGTTTTGGAGGTTTTTTAGCGTATTTCGCGGTCGCGTCCGCCATTAACGAATCGATTCGTTATTGTTTCGGAAATCGATTCGTTAATTTTTTCCCATTTACGAAATTTCGTAAATATCGAACTTTTTAAAAGGAAAATTTTGTAATTATTTTAAATATCGAAACAAAAAAACCCCCCAAATACAAATCGATTTTAGAAACAAATTTTTCCGTTGTTACCCAGGCCTATTATCTAGTTATACAGCCAATCCCCATTAAAAGGATCTAATATTTCCAGACAACACCAGTGAAAATAGAGCATCCCTCATCTGAAAACCCCAAATCCTCCAAAATCTGAAATTGTCCACATGGACTCAGCAGCCCATAGTGACACCTTTGCTTTCTGATTTGTTTCACGCCCAAACTTAATTTTAACATATTATGTATAAAATTACCTTCAGGGTTTATGTATAAGGTGTGAAACATAAATGAATTTATAAAATGCATTTTGTATTTAGACTTGGGTTCCATCTCCAAGATATCACATTATGTACATGTATGTAAATACAGGTATTCGAAAAAATTTTGAAAATCCAAAATCAAAACACTTCTGCTCTGAATCATTTCCAACAAGGGAAGATTTGTGACGTTACTGGAACCTTTACTAAATGCATTATGTCATACTCTGCACAGACGCACTCTTTCAGAACAAGTCCAGACAAGTCCTGTAATTCTGTTCCAGCAGAAGAGCAGACTAATTTCACTACAGACTTATAGTTTCTTAAGACTCATACATAGTATCCAACTTCTGGGCTAAGTTTCCCTGATTGAATATGAAAATTCCCTGCCTAAAACTATCACAGAATCACAGTTGGAAGGGACCTCAATGCAGGATCTCCAGCTAAAGCACCCCCAGTAGGGAGCTGTCCAATTTGTTTCAGGTGCATCTATACTGTACAATTAATGCGGTTGGGATCTCGTTAACTGCCGTGGCGCAATGCTATGGAATCATTGCTATTGTAGTTTGGTGAGACACTAGCACTATTTGACAGAGTAGATGAAAGACCTTGTGAAATTATCGAAGACTATGGCCCCTTCCACATATCTGTATAAAATCCACATTGAACTGGATTATATGGCAGTGTGGACTTAGATAATCTAGTTCAAAGTAGATTTAATGATGTTTAATACTGTTTTAATACTTGAATGTTTATATATTTTAAATTGTATTGCAATGCTTTTAGTTGTGAGCCACTTTGAGTATGGAGAGAAAAAGTGGGATATGAATAAGCATAAACATAAACATAATAATAATAATAATAATCTGTCTTGATATTCTGGATTATATGGCTGTGTGGAAGCGCCCTACAAAAACATAGTTCTACTACTTTTAAATCATTTAAAATGCTTTCAGGCCATTTGATAGTCCCTTCTAGATAGGGCCATACAATCCACCCCATACCCTTCAGCCTTCTGCCGGGCATCTGCTCCAACCAGTCAGAACCCAACTGGTGACCACCACCTAGAGGACGTTTTCATCGGCTGCCCCAAGGCTGTGGAATGACTTGCCAGTAGCGTTCCAACAGCTAAATCAGCTGTCACAATTTAAGACACAAGCAAAGCCCTGTTTCTTCCAGCAGGCCAATCCAGAGTCTTTAAATATCAACATGAATTTTAATGCATGTCCTTTGTCTAATCTCTGTTTTGTCTGTCTTAATATGCATTTTACAGAGATACATTTTGGTATGTACCTTTTATGTAATGTTTTAATTGTTTTTATATAACATAATCACACCTTTATTTACAAATGGCTTTTGTGTCAATTTAATATGTCTTATTTTACTTCCATATTGAGTCTGTATTGTTAGTTTTTGCTGATCTAATTTTAAATTGTTACTATCATTATTATTTATAGTTGCACTGTTATGCTCTTGTGAGCTCCTTCGAGTCCCCTCAGGGAGATGGGGTGAGATACAAATAAAATTGTTGTTATTATTATTTGAAATACAACAAGATGAGTCCACAGCAGACACTCTGCTGACTGTTGTAGTGGATCACATGTCAGGCACTTCCCAAGTGTCTAGGACTGTGTGATGTATTGGCGAATGATGCGTGCAGATCCCAGTAAGGTGGCCTTCTGCAGCTGGAAGATGGTAATTTTGTCAGCACCGATTGTGTTTAAGTGCAGGCCAAGGCACTGCACCCACTGTGCCGATCACCATTGGGACTACCATTACTGGCTTGTGCCAGAGTCTTTGCAGTTCGATCTTTAAATCCTCGCATCGTGTTAGCTTTTCCAGTTGTTTCTCTTCAATCCTGCCATCACCTGGGATTGCAATATCGACAATCCATACTTTGTTTTTTAACACGATTGTGAGGTCAGGAGTGTTGTGCTCCAAAGCTCTGTCTGTCTGAATTCGGAAGTCCTAGAGTAGTTTGACGTGTTCATTCTCTGTAACTTTTTCCGGCTTGTGATCCCACCAGTTCTTTGTCGCAGGCAGATGCTATTTGTGGCACAAGTTCCAATGAATCATCTGAGCAACGGTGTTATGTCTCTGCTTGTAGTCTGTCTGTGTGATCTTCTTGCAGCAGCTGAGGATGTGATCTATTGTTGCATCTGCTTCCTTGCAGAGCCTACATTTGGGATCTGTTGTTGACTTTTCAATTCTGGCTTGGATGGCATTGGTTCTAATGGCTTGTTCTTGGGCTGTCAGAATCAGGCCCTCCATCTTCTTTTTCAAAGTTCCATTTGTGAGCGACAGCCATGTTTTTTCTGTCATTTTGGTTCTCAATTTTTCCCAGGAACTGTCCATGGAGAGCCTTCTTTCACCAGTTTTCTCTTTTGCTCTGGATTGTGTTTTAATAATAATAATAATAATAATAACTATAATAATAGTATTGTCGAAGGCTTTCATGGCTGGAATCACTCAGTTCTTGTGGGTTTTTTCGGGCTATATGGCCATGTTCTAGAGGCATTTCTCCTGACGTTTCGCCTGCATCTATGGCAAGCATCCTCAAGCAACCTCACCTCTGAGGATGCTTGCCATAAATGCAGGTGAAACGTCAGGAGAAATGCCTCTAGAACATGGCCATATAGCCCGAAAAAACCCACAAGAACTGAGTATAATAATAGTAATATCCCAGGATCTGATCCCAGGTTTTCTGCATTAAACTGGAATATACAAATCAGCATTGTCAGATAATCTGAGATAACCCGAAAACTTGGCATCAGATTCTGTGATATAGTAATATCCCAGGATCTGATCCCAGGTTTTCTTCTTTGAATTTGAATATATGGCAGTGTGGACTCAGATAACCTAGTTCAAAGCAGATATTGTGGGATTTTCTTCCTTGATATTCTGTATTATATCGCTGTGCGGAAGGGCTGCACTTCTATCGCGTATTTCCTATCTCTATAGTCTAGCAAAGTACATTTCACAGCAAAGCCGTTCTGCGCATGCGGAAGTCGCAGGGGGGTTTTTTTTTTACGCAGGCGCAGAAACCCTTACAGATTTCGCACGCGCAGAACGGCCTTACTTTTTCACGTCAAAGTACCTCCTGTTTGACAAAAAGCTGCGCATGCGCAGAGGCAGTTTAGACCGTACCATTCTCAGTATCCGGGGGGACGATGAAAATATATTAATTTTTTACACGCGCCCCCTTTTAAATTTTGCTCGCACCTCATTTTGGATAAAGAAAGAAAATAGAGGGGAGACTGGAAGTGAGGTAACGAAGAGCAGAGTGGCAAGGAAGGAAGGTGGTGACGTTGAGAGGCGAAGTGGTACAGCCCACTGAGGCCCTGCTGAGGGTTCCGCCCCTTCCGCGTTGCCTTTCTTTCCTTTCGGTGCCGTCGGCGCTGCCGCCATGAGGTGAGAGGCCGCGGAGGGAGGCCTGGAGAGTTTGCGGGCGGGTTTCTAATACAACTAACTTTAAAAAATAAATACATTCTGAAAGCAGTGGTTGAAAGAAGGAAAATCAAAGTATCTGGGAGAGGCTGTTTGTGGAGGAGGCGGGGAGGCCTGGGCGAGGCCTGTTGGGCCTACGCGACGAAGGCAGAAGTCAAGGCCCAGGCTTCCAGCACAGACACAGGCCGCGATTAGATAGCTGTATATATGTGGAAGACACATATACACAGACACCTAAATATACATATTAGACCCCTAAATATACATATTAGACACCTAAATATACATATATGGATGTACATGAACAAATACATTTATATATACTGTTTCTTCGAAGTTAATATATATGATTAGTATAATATTATAATTTGATTTCTTACCGCCTCTCTTTGTGGCAGGTTACAACATAGCAAAAACACATAATCATCAAACATTATATTAAAAACACATGTTAAAACGTAAAAACACATAACCATCACATGGCAAAAAACATAACCATCAAACATTATATTAAAAACACATACATATTTCTACAAAATTTATATTAAAGTACGCAGGACAAAGTTTAAAACATAGTGAACACAAGACTTACCAGTGGATGTAATAATATTTATTTATTTACAATATTTATAGCCCACCTTTCTCAGCCATCTATATAAATAAAAAATATAATGTTCATTTGTGGGATTAATGTTACTTAAAAACCACTGGTCGAATTGACACCAAATTTGGACACAATACACCTATCAGGCCAACGAGTGACCATCACTTAGAAAAACAGCAGAAGAGACTTAAAAAGCAAAAAAAAAAAAACCCAAAAAACAAAATACATTACAACACATGCACAAAACACATATATACATGCAAACACACATATATACACATATACACAGAAAGGGGGAAGGAAGGAAGGCAGGAAGGAGAGAAGGAAAGAAAGAAAGTTAGAAAAGGAAAGGAGAGAAGGAAATAAAAAAGTGAAAGAGGGAGGGAAGGAAGGAAAGAGACAAGGAAGGATGGAACCAAAGAGCAAAGGAAGGGAGCAAAGAAACAGGTAGAGAAGGACAAATGAAGAAGGGAAAATAAAGAGGGAAGGAAGGAGAGAAAGAGGGACAGAAGGTTGGCCACAGCAACGTGTGGTGGGTACAGCTAGTATAATAATAATTTATTTATATACCGCTCTATCTCCCCGAGGGGACTCAGAGCGTTTCCCAAGTAACATCATAAAACATACAGAGTAAAAACAACATAACCATAAGATTAACAAATAAAATATAAGCATAAAAATTGTCGCCATAACACACATATATTAAAAGTAATCCTGCCTGTTCAAGGCAATTAAAAATTTAAAAGGCTGGGCCAAGATTTGTGCAAGCCCAAAATTTATAGGGGGCCCAGGAATTAAATGCAATGCTATGGCAGGCAACAATAATATTAGGTACGGGTCTGTGGCTGTTCACTCCGGGACCGATTAGAGGAAAGAATCTGTGTATCTGATAGGAAGAATAAGTCCGTATTAGACAATGTGTGGGTCATTTTCAAAGGCTTGTTGAAACCACCAGGTCTTCAAGCTCATACGGTGACTCAAGGCAGGTTACAGATTGGCACAATTCGATGTCAAGCATTGATAAAAATGCCATTATAAACAATCAACATTACAATATAAAACAAATAAAAACCATAAAAGCATATAATCATCGGTGTCATCTTGTTAAAAATGTTATCCAGTAACATCGTCTGGCCATTCCATGTTAATAATAATTGTATTGGTCTCGCCTTATGGTTCGAGGCAGGGTACAACATGGTTAGAACAGATATAATGAAATACCATTGAAATGAATATATTAAAATACACAGAAAAAAGGTTGACACTAATACTAATCAATTGTAGGTTACAATTCATTGTTTAAAATCGACAAGGGGGGCCTGCCAGAAGAGATAGGTCTTCCGTTTTCTCTTGAATTGAGCTTTCAGATCTCTTCCATATGATTATATATGAGTACGCATGCTCAGATCCAGTCCCAACACTCTAAAGCAATTAACCTATTTGGGTTAACTGTAATGGTCTATTTTATATTGTATTTTCTATGCTCTTGTAAACCGCCTTGAGTCCATTGGAGAAAGGTGATATAGAAATGTCCCAAATAAATAAAGTAGGCATGGGCAGATCGGCTCCCACAATTCCTCACAGGTGGTAGGCAGTTAGGCATTGTGGGAATTGAAATCCAAAACACCGGAAGGCCAGTGTTTGCCCATGACTGCCCTAAAGGTACCATATCTTTTTTGATCTCGGAAGTTAAAGAAAGTCATTCCTAGTTGGTACAATCAACTTTCCTTATCCATGGATTCAACCATTCAAGCTTGATCATATTCCCCCCCCCCCCCCCCAATACTCTACAAAAGTAACCCTTGATTTTGCCATTTCATATAAGCGAAACAATTTCATTACGCCATTTCGAGCATCCACTGGTTTTGTTACTCAACGGGGTGGTAAGTGTACTTGGATGGGAGACTGCCAAAAAGTGCCAGGCAATGTATGTTAAATTTCAAAGGAAAGGAATATGCCTCTGTGAACCCTGTGAAATTCATGGAGTTGCCTAAATTGACAGGTAACGTGAAGGCACATGTACACACACATGTATAAACTTTAATTTTGATAGGTTTTAGGCATGCTTTTAGAAAAAATACAGTAAAGAATATTAATGTATGTAAGAAACATCGAAAGTATTATAAGTTAATATATGTATAAATCACCACTGAAGAAAAGATGAAATTAACAATAAAGAATATAAAAAAATAGTTTGAAGAAACAATAGATTACAAGCTGGTCCTAAAACAGGTTTTTCAGAAAATAATGCTGGAATGGAATGGGAGTTTTAATCTGAGACTGAGCCCTTAGTCTCAGGTGATATATAAAGTGCTTGACATGTGATATTTCATGAATGGGTCCTTCAGTTCTGGAAGATAAACACCACCATACCAGGTAAGCAAGAATTAGGTGAACTATGAGATAGTGAGCAGCGGTTTTGGAGCAAGAGGGAAATACATATTATGAACTGTCAAAAATTTATATATTTTAAATTAAAACAAGAAAAAATAAATTCTGGTATTCTAAATGTAACAACATCTTGTTTACAAATCAGGCTTGTTTCATCCAACTTGAGTCCCAGGACTGGAGCAAAAGAATATAAATAATAATAATAATAATATAAAATCATTGGGTTGCCTGAAGTTAAAATGCTTTACATGTTCACTCTGTAGCTGAAAGCAGATGTTGAATAAAAGGATCACCTGGGGGGAAAAAAACACATTACAAATAAGGAATGTCTCTTCATTTATTCTTCCAAATTTTGTTGGAAGAGATTATAATTTTATTTGAAAACATACTTTATCTGAGGTTCTTTTGCACATTTATCATAGAGATCTGAAAAGATTTTGTCATTTTAACTTTATAAAATGAAATTATGAGAACATTTGGAAAAATTTCCCAGTTGTTTGCTTTACTTGTCTGTGAAATCCCTAACCCCTGTGTGATGTTTTGTGTCCTCAGTATGCTAAGGCTCCAGAAGAGGCTGGCCTCCAGCGTTCTGCGCTGTGGCAAGAAAAAGGTCTGGTTGGATCCCAATGAGACCAATGAAATTGCAAATGCCAATTCTCGTAAGTGATTATTTCCTGTGAACTCTTATATGCCACTTGCTTATTTCAATGTGTTCTCTGTACAGTAGATTCTCAATTTACTCAAATAACTGGGAAAAATACCAAAGAAATAATACTACATTCAAAAAGCTGTTTTGAACGGTGTTACATTAAGTTTGTTTTTATTAATCAATATTAATATCAAGTCAGTATAGACTTTATGGTATGATATAGTATGTGGTATTGTACTCATGTGGCCTATTTCTAATAGTAACTCTCAAGCAACGAGAAACTACATTTATTGGGCCCCTGCTAATCCTCATTGGTCCTGGTTAACAGAGAGTCTACTGTGTCATCTTATAAATAGATATGGAAATAGTTTTTTTTCTTAAGAACTAGTTCAGTTATTCAATCAATTTATATTTATTTTTTTGAATTGCCAGTATTGTGCTTAAATTTAGCAGGATATCTTCTTGTTCAGTTGTGCAAATTGTACAACATTTTCCTGCTAATCGTTGTTAGGTGAATTCTGGAGACCGCTTCATTTCCAAATCTATTTTGAATTAGGCAAACAATATTAATACCATGACTTGTTAGAGCTTCACAGTTTGAGAACTGAAATTGCAGAGCAGAGCATCGCTGTAGCTGCCTATGTGTGGAAATCACACCTGGCAATATCTTGGCTGTGGCGTATAACAATGTGATTATATATTTCTTATCTTCTAGGTCAGCAGATCAGAAAATTAATCAAAGATGGTCTGATTATCCGTAAACCAGTGACCGTTCATTCAAGAGCACGATGCCGTAAAAACACCTTGGCTCGCCGTAAGGGCAGGCATATGGGTATCGGTAAGTCTTGATTTCTCAGCTTTCACTATCTTTGATTCATGAGGCAAATGACTTCAGGCAGTCTTTACATATGGATAGCAACAGGCATTTAATAAATATTATGAAGCCTTTGCAGAAAAGCACTCTGCTGTGTGCCTAACAGTTGAGAAAATTAAGTCAGTGCTTAACATTTCATTTCTTGTTCAGGTAAGAGAAAAGGTACTGCCAATGCTCGTATGCCTGAGAAAGTTACTTGGATGAGAAGAATGAGGATTCTGAGGCGTCTGCTTCGCCGCTACAGGGAATCCAAGAAGATTGATCGCCATATGTAAGCCTGGGGAAATGTCTTTACCCATTTGGTTACATAGAGAAGGTTTGGAGTTGTGCATTTGCCTCACAGGAAATTCTGAAGAGAAATCTTCATTTCTGTCTTTCATCGAGAGTTGAATAAGGCCAATTTAGGTCAGTGTGCGACATAGGCTTAAAATATCCTCAAGGCACCCGATCATGTCCAATCTTGGAAGCTAAGTAGGGCCAGCCCTGGCCAGTACTTGGCTGAGGAACTGCCAAAGTTCTGTGTATTGATGATTTAATTTTTAATTTGTAATTGCTTAATTGTTTTTATATATGTATGTATATGTGTCAAGGCATCGAATTGTGCCTTTCTCTGTAAGCCGCCCTGAGTCCCCCCTAGGGGGTGAGAAGGGCGGGGTAAAAGTGACGGAAATAAATAAATAAATAAAGAATACCTGGTGCTTTAGGCTATATTTCAGTACAAGGAACTAGCAAAACTACCTCTGATTATTCCTTGCCTAAGAAAATGCTTTGAAATCCATAGAACTACCATAAATTTACAGACTGAAGGCACATATGCATACTTATGCCACATTTGAACATTGAGCTGTAGTATAGAGTTGGAAGAGACCACATGGGCCATCCATTCCCACCTCCTGCCATGCAGGAAATGCACAGTCAAAGTACCCCTGACAGATAGCCATCCAGCCTCTGTTTAAAAGCCTCCAAGGAAGTAATTTCCACCACACTCAAGAGGCAGAGAGTGGTCCACTGTTAAAGAGCTCTCATGGTCAGCACCTTCCTAATGTTCAGGTGGAGTCTCCTTTCCTGTAATTTGAACCCATTATGCTAACATTCTAGCTTCCATCATCCCTTCCCATTGATCATATTGGCTGGAGCTGTTGTAAGTTGCTGCCCAAAAACATTTCGAGTTCAGCGTATGCGGCTCAGGCCTCTGATTTCCCTTTGTTGGTGAAAGGCCCTTGGTTTATTTAAGGCGATCTAGTACAGTGTTGTACTGTTTCTCTGGAAGAGACATGCTCAGGTCTTTCTGTGTTTCTTCTCTTTTCTAGGTACCACAGTTTGTACCTGAAGGTGAAAGGTAACGTGTTCAAGAACAAGCGGATCCTGATGGAGCACATCCATAAACTGAAGGCAGACAAGGCTCGCAAGAAGCTTCTGGCGTAAGTATTTAATCCTACTACTTGGCGGAGTTATTTCTTCTGTTTATAAGGGTTAAAAGTTAGAGGCACAGAGGCTTAAACCACTGAGCTTCTGAACTTGCTGACTGAAAGGTAGGCAGTTTGAATCCGGGAGTGAGGTGAGCTCCCGCTGTTAGCCCCAGCTTCTGCCAACCTAGCAGTTTAAAAACATGCAAATGTGAGTAGATCAATTGGTACTGCTCCGGCGGGAAGGTAATGGCGCTCCATGCAGTCATGCTGGCCACATGACCTTGGAGGTGTCTATGGACAACGCTGGCTCTTTGGCTTAGAAATGGAGATGACCACCAACCCCCAGAGTCGGACACAACTAGACTTAATGTGAAGGGTAAACCTTTACCTTTATTCCCTGTCTAAAAGAAAAACCACATTCGGCATTAAAAATTAGAGGCTCTGTATAATTTCATAATACAGTATGCAAGGGAAATGAGCTCTTGGTGTATAGTATGTACAGTTCAGCCCTTTAAGGCAGGGTTTACTTCTTCAAAACACTTAGAAAAGGGAGGTCCTTCATCTGGGTCATGCAGTTTTAATTAACCATGCCCTGTTCCTTTGGGAATTGTGAGAGGCATCCCTGTTTTTTCTGACCATCAATTGAAGCGAAGATAATGGTTTCTCAGCTCTACTTTCCCCCCTTTCTTGACCGGAAAGAGGCATATAGTTCAGGAAACAGTTCCTTGAGTTGTTTGGGTCAATATGTACTTTTAGTATGCGTTTTTCTTAGTTAAGGAAGATATGCATGGATCATCCCAGCTCTCAATTGCTGTGTAGTTCAATTTTGAGGTTTATCTGTGCTGTATTCTATCCATTTGGGGATGGGGAAGTGATACAGATAAAGTGATATGGGTGATCCTGAAGATCATCAAGAAATGATGGAATGACCTGGGAGTGACTATGTCCATTGTCATACTTCATCCTGTCACAGATAAGAGAGGCTTCTGCATTATTTATTGGAAAAAGGAGAGAAATCTCTAAGCCATTGCATAAATGAATTGTAATAAACCTTCTGTGAAAGACGTTTGTACTCCCCCCCCCCCTTCAAATTGAGAGAGAGCAGAGTATTCAGAACTTGGCAGGGAAAAGTAGCTGGCTTAGCTTTATATAATTCATACTAATTGAAGGCACTGAAAATAGCAAAGTGTTGTTGTTGGTATTGTGCCTACAAATAACCTTTCTTGTGTTTCAGTGACCAGGCTGAAGCCCGGAGGTCCAAGACCAAGGAGGCCCGTAAACGCCGTGAAGAACGCCTGCAAGCCAAGAAAGAAGAAATCATCAAAACTCTGTCTAAGGAGGAAGAAACCAAGAAATAATTTCTGCCTTTCTGTGTACATAGTGCTCAAAGGGTATCAAATAAATCTCTTTAAAATTAATCTTTGTCAAATCTCTTTTCCTATATGAATAGAGTTGCTTTAAAGTTTGATGGCTTTTTTGATATAGAATTGCAGCTTGACTAAAAATTTGATCTAGATTTTTGTTTTCATTTTTGAGTTACCGTATATACTTGAGTATAAGTCGACCCGAATACAAGCTGAGGCACCTAATTTTACCACAAAAAACTGGGAAAATGATTGACTCGAATATAAGCTGAGGGTGGGTAAATTTGAAAATAAAAATAGATACCAATAAAATTGTATTAATTTAGGCATCAGTAGGTTAAATGTTTTTGAATATTTACATAAAACTGTAATTCAAGATAAGACTGTCCAACTCTGATTAAACCATTATTCTAACCTTCAATGTAAATATCTTACATGCCCTCCAATAATAATAGAGTAAAATAATAATAATAATAATAAAGTAAAATAATAAATGTAACAATAACAAATAGAGTAAAATAATAAATGTAATAATAATAACAACAACAACAAAGTAAAATAATAAATAACATTGACTCGAGTATAAGCTGGGGGAGACTTTTTCAGCCTAAAAAAATGACTGAAAAACTAGGCTTATACTCGAGTATATACAGTATGTCTCCTTCGGGGGGAGAAGGGTGGGGTAAAAATATAGGAAATAAATAAATAAATAAAATCCTCTTAGAGAGATGTTAAAATTGCTCTCAATTGCAATTTCATATTCTTAAGTATGCATACAAATTGATTTATAAAAAAAATACTTAGTTTGCTTGACACTATTCAGAAGCTTATATGAAAAATTTTGAACCTGTAGCTCACATGTATTTGCTCAATATTTTAATCTGCTTAGAGTAGCAATGAAGACAGGGATTTCTGATCTGTATTTTTTGTACATGTGTAAGTAAAGAAAGCAAGGATTACTTGACAAAATGGCGTTAAAGGAAGTAGAGGTAGTACTGTATTTCTTCTATTCTAAGATGTGCTTTTTCCTATATAAACATCTGTCAAAATGAGGGGATTTTAGAATCATAGGTGTATCTGAAGTATTTTTTTGTTAGTGGTACTGAAATTAAGGTGTGTGTCTCACAATTGAAGAAACACTGTTATTGGACAGATGTTTTGTTTTGTGATATGGGATGTGAAGAGCCAGTGGTATATAATGGCTTAAGACTGGGAGATTAGGACTGGAATCTCTACTCAGTCTATTGGATGACCTTCGGTAAGTCTACCAGCTTTAGAGGAAGGCAGCGTCAAACCCCCTCAATAAATCTTGATAAGGTTGCCACAAGTCAGATTTGTCAATTTAAAGGACCATAACACAGTAGATAAAATTTCATGCTATTTGATAATTCAGACCATGAATATTTAAAATTCAACAGGTGACCTAAGGTCATATAAGGAATGCATCACTTCAGATATGTCTCTATCTGACTTGTCCAGTCATGTAGAAAAACAGACTTCTTGAGGCTGAAATAAATTTTCACATTCATGTTCTTACACAATGGATCTTGATTTGAGGGCTTCAACACTTGGGATCCCTGACTGGGCTGGATGTTCCACAATCTGAAATCCAAAATGTGGAAGCACTCTTTGAGTTCATGTAAACATCAGTTTAGCAGGAATCTTCACTGCTGTAAGGAAGTAAAAAGGTTCTCTGTTCTCTAGAGAGTCTTAAATCTTGGTTCACCAAAGGAATAATCCATACCTTGGTCCCTTGAGCGATGAAATTGAGAGCTTTCTAACCTCAGCAATCTCAAAACAGGGCTTCTGGAAAAGGTCTTATTAGTTGAAGAAGTTTGTAAGGTTAAGTCATCTTTTGGAGCCCCAAAGGTGTGATTGTGGATCCTGTTATAGTCAACTTTTATGTCTGCTGACATTGGAAGCTCAATACCACATTTATTGACAGCAGCCAATCCAATTTCCTTTGAAAGTGAAATAACATTGTATTTGAGGAAGAGTAGTTGTTAATATATAAAAGGGTGATCTGTCACATTTTCAGGTGCCGTTTTCCTGGTATGGAAAAGACATAGTCTTGCCTTGTGCATTTGAAACGTCCACTGTACATCTTTTCCAAATTCATCAGTAATTCAAGCACAGTAGTGATGTAAATAAGTCCAAAAATACTCTTCTTTAGTCTTCAGGGCATTAATTTTTGTTTCCATGGTGATTTTCGAGAGGTATATTGCACAAGTTTTACTTCAGACTTGTTTCTAACATTTATAGTTCACTGTTTTGAAATTAGTTTCTGGATAATTGTCAAAAGAAAATTCTGGTTGGCTCCAAAGGTGTGTCAGATTGCAGGACTGACCTTTTCATATTCATCTTTGTTGACATTCAATCTACTGACTTTCCTCGCACTCAACTGCATACATTACCTGAGGCCATCTGAGTGCCAATAATAAACAGAAAGTGACATGGTCCCTGCTGCCAATCCTTGTCTGTTAATTAGATAATTAATCCCAACATAGACACAAAAGATCAAGTCTATTAGCCTCTGGTAAAAATGAGGGCAAAGGTGTTTTCCAGATGGCCCCTGCAGTGAGATTTCATGCATTTTTAGACTCTGAAAATCAAAGCAAGTATCTACCTAAAAATCACAAGCTTTTAGAACAGGGTAATCATAAAGGCCTGTGTGGTAGGTGACAGATATATATGTTAGCATTAAAAATTTAAAAATACAAGTTTGTCTTTGTATCAGTTGTTCACAATGGTATGTTAAATCCAAAGACCTGCTGAAAATCTGAAACAACAATTGGCCAGATTATCAACAAGGAATGACAAGAAACCACAAGTGGGCTAGTGCTCTAGACCAGGGGTCCTCAAACTTTTAAAACATAGGGCCAGGTCACAGTCCCTCAAACTGTTGGAGGGCCGGATTATAATGTGAAAAAAAATGAATGAATTCCTATGCACACTGCACATATCTTATTTGTAGTGCAAAAAACACTTTAAAACAATACAATAATTAAAATGAAGAACAATTTCAACAAATGTAAGCTTAGTATTTCAGTGGGAAGTGTGGGCCTGCTTTTGGCTGAAGAGATAGGATTGTTGTCATTTAACAACCTCTGAGGATGCTTGCCATAGATCAGTGGTTCTCAACCTTCCTGATGCGACCCCTTAATACAGTTACTCATGTTGTGATGACCCCCAGCCATAAAATTATTTTTGTTGCTACTTCAGAACTGTAATTCTGCTCCTGTTATGAATTGTAATGTAAATATCTTAAATACAGAATGTATTTCATTCACTGGACCAATTTGGCACAAATATCTGATACGCCGACATTGAATGATTGTGAGGTTGGGGGAGGGTTGATTTTGTCATTTAGGAGATGGGATTTATAGTTCACCTACAATCAAAGAGCATTCTGAACTCCACTAATGATGGGATTGAACTAAACTTGACACACACAACTGACCAAGAGAAAATACTGGGAAGGTCTGGTGGACATTGATCTTGAGTTTTGGAGTTGTAGTTCACCTACATCTAGAGAGCACTGTGGACTCAAACAATGATGGATCTGGACCAAACTTGGCACTCAATATGCAAATGTGAACACAGGTGGAGTTTGGGGAAAATAGACCTTGACATTTGAGAGTTGTAGTTGCTGGGATTTCTAGTTCACCTGCAATCAAAGAGCCAGGAGAAGGCGGGGGAAGGGGCTGGCGAAGCGGCTTTGGGTTCGCGTCGCCAGCCCCCTCCCCAGGCCGAGCCTACCTTCTCCCAGCTTCAGGATGGGGCCTTCCCCGTCCTGAAGCCAGGAGAAGGCGGGGGAAGGGGCTGGCGAAGCGGCTTTGGGTCCACGCTGCCAGCCCCCTCCCCAGGCAGCCTGCCTTCTCCCGGCTTCAGGACAGGGCCTCTCCTCGTCCTGAAGGCGGGTAAGGGGCTGGAAAGCGGCTTTGGGGCTGCGCCGCCTGCCTCCTCCCCAGGCCGAGCTGCCTTCTCCTGGCTTCAGGACAGGGCCTCGCCGTCCTGAAGCCGGGAGAAGGCGGGAGGCGGCAGGCGATGCGGCTTTGGGGCCGCGTTGCCTGCCGCTTCTCCACACCCAGCGGGCCAGATAAATGCCCTCCCGGGGCCGGGTGTGGCCCGCGGGCCGTAGTTTGAGGACCCCTGCTCTAGACTTTTTCAAGGGATTCCTGATAAGAAGGTTAATAAAAACTGATCATCCCCCAGAAATCCCTTTGGGCACAGCAAATAATAATAATAATAAAAGAAAGAAAAGAGGGAAGGAAGGAAGGAAGGAAGGAAGGAAGGAAGAAGGAAGGAAGGAAGGAAGGAAGGAAGGAAGGAAGGAAGAAAACTGTATGGGTGAGGGCTACATTTGCCTGTGATAGCAAAGAATGCAGAGAATAGACAAAAGTACATTGTGCATGATGGGGTGAATAAATAATCCATTTTCATTACAAATGCAACAGAATGAAACATTACGGTGCGAAGATGACTCCCTCCCTCATGGGATAAGGTCCACAGTCTGTTGTACAATGTTTGATTTCTAGTGTGGCTCTTAACTACCAGCTAGGTCAGCTAGATTTTGTGGTTTGAGCATTGGACTATGGTTCTGGAGCCCAGGGTTTGAATCCCTGTTCAGCCATGGAAACCTACTGGGTGATTTTAAGTGAATCACACTTTCTCAGCCTCAGAGGGAAGCAAAAGAAAAATAGTGTTGCCTTAGGGTTGCCACATCAGAAATGATTAGAGGGCACACAAAAAGAAGAAAAAATCAACCTAGTAGAGTCATTGTATCCCACTGAAAGCTAACCCATTTGACTACTGCTTATCTCTTCAAGTTGCCTGTTGACTAATGATGACTTAATTAATTCCATAGGTTTATTTTCCCCTCTGGCAAGAAATAGAAAGTTTGTATGAAGTATTTAGAGGTTTTGCTAATTCTTTTTTCTGAAACACAGCCTCTTCCCTACGGCACCTGGTATTCATTGGTATTCCTGTCCAAGAACTAACCAAAGGTAACCTTGCTTAGCTTCCAAGATCAAATATGATCTGGTACCTTTGGT